CCCAATAATTTAGATAATACTTAATTTGACGAAAAATATTGATTAAACTCAAACACATCATCAATAACTACGTAGGTGGCCTTCCTTGAACATAATTGTATTCAACTACTAGCTTTGGCACTTACATCTAATTTCTCAAACAAGCTCAAACTGTTTTCAAAGTGGGTTACATTTTTTTCGTGTTTTGATTTTTAAGTTTTATTTTTTCAACCCAACTGTATGTGCATTTTTAGTACAACAAAGATTCAATTAAACAGTCTCTGAAACAAAATGTTATCCAAAATATTCACAATATCATTTGAAACAGAGAAAATTATGATTGTTATAACACATTTAAACAACTATTTACGGGTTGTTGAATTCCACAACAATCCACAAATCACAACTATTTACACAACGTTGAATTCCATCTTGACTACGGTTAAAGTAATTGATCATATATCATAATAAAGACATAAACCTATTGATTTTCTAGTTATTATTTATAAATTTACATACAAATGTACAAACGTGTAGTATGTTGATTGATTTAATAATAAATAGTAAGAAATGAAATTTTCCAAAATGTAAAACGAGTTAAATGACAATTGTTACTGGCAATAGTCAATGCATTAGGAAGTCGTATCATTAATAAAATGTACTATTAAATAAAATATACATCTCTCTGTTATAGTCAGTAAAAGCATTTTGTCTACAAAAATATTTTTTTTATTACTGTATGAACAAAAATTACCTACATGTGGAAAAGGAGAATTTCTTTATTGCTAAAGTGTATTACTTGCAAATGTTGTGAATGTTTTTAAACAACAGCAACATAAAACATATTTATCAGAATATAGATGGAAGGTGTCTTATCAAATTTTAGAATTAGTAGGGTTCTTTGAAATTCGTAAAATGACACCAGAACCTAAAATAGTTACTAATTTTCCACAACCCAAAGATATAATATTGTGTTTTAAACATTCCTATTCATTTTTTTATTCGGATTAAATTTGTCCACGCTTCTGTCGAAATAATGTATTGTGATAAAACAAATTTGATTGTTGAGGTGGGTTCCGGAAAGAGAGTATTTATTAGGTTATAGGGGAAATAAATTGTAAACCTATTTCATACAATCGTTAATGCAATATATCGTGCAATTTGGCAGACGGGGGAGATTTATTTAGCATTTTGTAAACGAAAATGTGTTTTCAATATCAGATTGTTTACGACGGTAAAGTTAAATAAAAGCAATATTTTTCCTAAGCCATCTGTTTTTCTAACAGGTTGGAATTTAATAATTCGCGAAAAACAGCGTTACCTTCAACTTCCACCTTCAGGCTTTGTTTCGATCTTAATTTGACTTTACTTATAGTCAAGTTTAAATTCAAATGTTTCATTGGATGTTTCGGTTATTTATGTACCGAGTTATATTTGGGCGTAAAATCCGTTGTAGAGGGCATTGTCCTGTACTATTTATCCATTGTATAATTTGATATTTTTGTTTCTATCGTATACCAATAAAGAGTGGATTCGATTTTTAGATACCTCACTTCCTCTTAGACAATTACTTACTAAAATTGAAAAGGAATCATTATGGATTCAAACAATCACTATCAATGCTTTCTACTTCCTTTAATATTAAGTGAAAGTGCAAAATAGTATTTTATAACTAATTTTACACTCTCGACAAATAAGAAAAGAGATACGAGGGTCAATTAGAAGCTGCAGTAATGCAGGATTAAAATACACCAAATGGAATGTCTTAGGAGAATATTAGTTAGTGACAAACTCATGGTCTTTAAGGGAGCTAACAGAGTTCGGGAAATAATTTATTTTGGCTTTTATTAGCCCAATCGCATTTGATCCAACGTAATATTAAGACAGTCAATATTTTGGAAACGTGTTATCAGAAAAGCTGATCTCATGGTGTGTTATCAAAACCTTTAGCGAATGTGAGTAGTATGTATGTAATAGACTTTACGTATGTAAAAACGCAAGCTAAACCGTTTAGCCTAGTTCAGAATCTATATATCGTATTACTTTGGGTCTGGACTGTGGTTTGGATTTGTTCCAGTGATAAGCGATGATATTTTGTGTTTGTAGGTGTTGTAAGTGATAAATAATGTAACACTTCAAATGTTTTACAATTATATATGCTTAGTAATCCTTGGTTGCTGTAGTGGAACAGTTTCCACAACCAGTTGTAGAGGAACCAGTGATCCGGTTCTTAATTTTGTACAACTAGGCCTACAATGAGTCAAAAACCATCTCTTGATACTTAAATACTTTATACTTTACCTTGGTTTGCAATTGTTAACAAAGTTTATAGCAACCTAAGGAGGTATTGTCAACAATTTTAAGAATAATACAGTAATCTTAATTAAGGTTAAACAGCTTTGTGAAACCCTGTATCTCAAATATAGTAATTAATTACATAAATAAATTACAGATTATTTTTGTAAACATATAAATTTCAAAATCATGTTTAGATTACAATGTGTAAAGTAAACTAACATTTGAGGACATCTTTAAGAACTGGTATAAAAAATTTGTATTTAAATATTCAGAGTTATGACAGTTGAAATGCGCTCCGTTACACAGATGGAACGTTTGGTCGTAACGACAGGAAGGAAACATAAAGATATCTGGGTGAAGTTCTGAGCTTATACAAGTTGTTAAGTTAAGGATTATCTCCTGGGACTTACATTTACACTCACTTTAATATCATTCAAGCTGTAATGTTGCGTAGGTAAATTTGTCAAGTACCTAGCGTTCACATATTTGTTATTCACATTTCTACTCTCACAGTTAACAGTAAATTTACTGTCAGATCCTTTTTGTCAGCTACCTCACATTTTGGGTAGGTCCGAACAGGGCCAGCTAGAGGGTGGGGCAGGGGGGCCAGAGCCCTGGGGCCCAGGGCTTTGAAGGGGGCCTGGCCTGGTCAAATGCAACATTTTTACTGTACATGTCAACTGCCAAAGTCAAAAATTTTTGAATAGTTTTTTAGTTCACTAAGTAATTTTTTATTTGAATTGTGAAATTTAAGTCTTAACTTGTTAGTTTTTTGACTTGAATAAAGTTGCAACTGTGAGCACATGAATTAATGAAACTATCAAGCATTTAAGAAATGTATTGTTATTTGTGTAACATAAGTGCACGTATGCGGCTGGACTTAGTCAGGAAAATAGGGGGACCGGGATCGCTCAGCCCAGGAGCCTGACAGCTCTCGCCGGCCCTGGGTCCGAAAAATGTTTCATTTACTTAGTTTTATTTTAAATAGTATAACATAATTCCTCTATTTTCCATAAATTGATAAATATATACCATAAGGCATTTCTATCATAGTTATTTGTGTAACTAGTGGGCAAAGTGGTACTGTTCGTGTTACACATTATATTTTTCCTACAGTTACTATAAATCATATAAATAATAAGTCTTTCAAACACTGTACAACACGTTTTTAGGTTAGGTTAAATCCAAACATTGAATGAAATGGGAAACGCTGCCCCAGCTGATCGTAGTCGTAATAATAACTTTACGACACACTACACTATTTTGACGAACTTCCCACGCAATGATTTCGTTTAGGAAACAGCATTTTGCCGCCAGCCTAATCAAATGAGGTTTCACTCTGTACTGGTCTGTTACTGTACTGTAATGAGTTTTACCGGACACTAACCAGCTGATTTGGCGATGAGTGGTTATAAAGAAAAACATAAGAGGTTATGACTAATGATTGTTAGTCCTTTAGTTAATGGTAATGCTGAATTTTTATTTCAGGATTAGTGTTGCCTACAGTATTATTTTGAGGCTTCTGATTGGCTGAGGGAACATCATTACAGCGACGATACAGTTGATGCCAACGGCCTCGGTGGTGTTGTGGATAGAGTGCTGGCCTGGTGATCCATAGGACCCGGGTTCGAATCCCATCCGTTACACTAATTTTTTGTATTGGGTTTTTTTCATTATCAACAAGTTTGGTTGGTTTGGTTAGGTTATGACGGTTTAATTTTATAATTAAAACATTATGAAATTGGATTTGACCCATTTATAGTTTTATTTTATGAACAGAAATATTTTTTTCGGTTAAACCTTCATTTGATTTTTCATTATTAGCAAGTCTGGTTAGTTTGGTTAGGTTATGATAGTTTAATTTTATAATAAAAAAATTATAAAATAGGATTTGAGGCATTTAAAATTTTATTTTATGAACAGAACTATATTTTTTATTATTAAACCTTCATTAGATTTTTTCATTGTCAGCACGTGTGGTTGGTTTGGTTAGGTTATGACGGTTTAATTTCATAATAAAAAAATATAAAATTGAATTTGAGGCATTTATAATTTTATTCTATGAACAAAAATAATTTTTCAATTACTAAACCTTCGTTATAGTCAATCAGAAGCCTCTAAATGACACGTTGGCAAAATTAATCCTGAAAAACAAATTGTGCAATGGTAATATGGATTCGTACAGATTTAGTAGTATGGCGTAAACTATCGTACGTCACTCGTTCGAAATGTGTTTACCGGACTCGTATGGTAATCCCGTACTAGACTTCGTCTCGCACGGGAGCGACCACAATCGTCTGGTAGCTTTAAAGCATTACTTTATATCTCTACACAGAGTAGTAGAGATATAAAGTCAATGGTACAAGGTATGCCTATTGCCTGGTGGGCCCCTGGCAAAGAAGATCACCTATCTCTGCCATGCCATCCCAAAGAATCCCTTTGAACCTTTAGACCGTCCTATCTTTATTACATAATTAGGTACATTAACAAAAACTAAAACAATATCAACATGAATCTTTGATTGGGCACATTTATGTTCAATAACAAATCTATGTTTAAACTAACAAAAACCTTAATTGCAGGATGAATTGGAAGCAACCACAACTCAGTGTACATCGAGGCTGCCTGGTCTGTTAAACCAAAGCCTGCTAACAAAATTAGAAAAAAAGGGGAAAAACATAACCAATCAAAATCAAACAAAAAACAAAACACTAAACCAATCAATCCTAATTCCTAATCCTCGAATACTCCTAACCTAACCCTCTTCATTCTAGCTGTATTGTTGCATTAATTTATTTATTACTCAATCAACTAACTTAGTTATGCTTATAAAATTAGTGACTTGCTGTACTTTTGAATATGAGTTTTAAAACCGTTGGTGTTGTCATCAATGGAATAAAAACTGATATTGCTGTTTCGGACTTTGGGTAAGTAGGCCTAGGCTAGTTTAACTTAGGTCTAATTTGAGGTTATAATTCTCATGATTCTGTGATTTACTGTTGTTTTAACTTAAATTATTTCTTAGTTATATTTATTCTTAGTTCACTTTTATTAAAAATATGGAGTATCCGGTGCTAACTTTTAAACTTAGCTGTTTTGAAACTAAACAAACACAATCCATGCAAGTGCTTAAAATGAGATTAGGCCTACTAGGTCCTAGCATAGACAAATAGAATAAATATAGACTGTCAAAGGAAAGTCCCGGTGCCCACCGCTAGGTTTGCCGTGTAGTTACAGGAAACACCGCTGCAGGCGAAGAGCGCAGGGGCCATATGTGACCAGCAGACGCTGCAGCGATGTGCGCCGTAACTACACGGCAAACCTAGCAGTGGGCGCCAGACATATGCTACCGCAGTACAGCTGACGGTCTATATTTTATTCTATTTGTCTATGGCCCTAGGCCCCCTATGCTACCAAAACAATGTAATCAAATCTAGGCCTTGGCCAAATACCTGTAGCCTAAGCAAAACTAGCAGACCCGTGCAAAGCAATCACACTGTATCCTCCTCAAATCCCACTTAACATGATGAAGTAGGTACACAACTCTCAGTTACCGTAAATACCCTACTGTGTGGAAAGTGCATCAAGTAGGCCTATATATCCTTACTTCAGGAATAGGCCCTAGATGTGGGTTTAAACATTTTAGATCATTGACTTTTTTTAAATACAAAGTCAAGATACAGTAAGTATTTAGGCCTACATTTTTACATGTTTACAGGACCTCTTTGAACACATAAGATATGTTTCAAGTGAGGTTATGGTCATATACAATATTTGTGTTGATGGGTTTGTTTTTACACATCATGTTTTTCATTTAAAATAGTCGAACACTTGACAACCCTACAAACAACAAAAACGGGATCCAGCACGTAGGCCTAAGCTACAATCCTTCCTTCATTAGCGTATATCCATGTACCTTATTTAAAATCATAGCAAAGGTAAGTTAACTTGTACGAGAAATTCCTTCTTACCGGTAGTCAGTTTGAAAGGATTACGGACTATTGACGTAATGTGACAGTTTAACCGAAGTCAGCTATCTTCGCTTTGATAGTGTAGTTGTCCAAGTCAGCTACAACCAATCTTGGGCCCTGAATTGTGTTTAGGTCAACATCATGTTTGTTCTTTTTAGCCTGGGCATGGGTTTATGAGGTGACAAACCTAAAGGGCTAAATGAATTCAAAAGTTCTAACAGATACTTACAACGGAGCACTCTAGGCTTACACTTATGTCCCTTGGTATAGAATCAAATCAAATTTGAGATAGGCCTAAACCGTTTCTTGTAACTAATAATTTCATCACAACAAAACCATTCATTGTTGTAGTAGCCTAGTCCTAATTAATTTTCATAATACGGCTATTGAATGAAGCTTTCGTTGATATTAAGCTACCTAGTTGATTTTTATGTCACTGAAAACTTTACGTTGGAAATGAGAACTTTGTAGTCACAGTAAAAATGTTTTGTAATTAGGATGGATAAGTATGGTTATTCCTGGCAAACTATCGAAACTACAGGTTGCAGTATTAAAAACGATTGAGCAAAAATAGGGTAGCCTAATTTGCTGCTAGTACTGTATGTGTTTAAAGTTGCAATTTTAATTTTGTCGTTCTCTGTAAAGTTGTATGTAGGTTTTAGTGCACATCAATGAGACGTTGGTGCCTAAGTTGAGGAACTGTAGCTTAAAGGTTGTCGCTGGGAAGCTATTTCTGTCCACGCAACCGGCAAAAAAACTAAGCCATTTCCGCGTAAAATATGTCTTAGTTTTATGTAGACGGAGTTACATAACTAACTTACTGAAGGTTCCTATAGGCCTACTGAAGGTTTTTCCAGATCCTTCAGAGCATCTAAGTATGAAGTATGAAGTAGCCTATCGAAGTATGAAGCTTGAATTTAATTTCAAAATAAATTAAGTACCTCATCTGTTTAATGGTTATCTGCTCCTTAACTATATATCCATAAACTGGTCATCAGTTAACCTGTAGAATATGCAAATGATTCCAAAAAGCCATGTCAAATGAGTTGGAATCTGGTGCTCCAGGAATAGCAAAGTGACCCATCCACCACCCCATAGTCTTCTATTATCTAGTTTGATGTGGATCATACTTGATAGCTTGATGGTGAATTTTCTTCCAATGCATTTGGTGTTATTCTTGCGGGTGTCCCATTGATTATTTGACCGCATGAAGTGTTCAGAGATGAAGATAATTGGTCGCCATTAACGTAAAAAAACCAAGTAAGCCTACAGCAAAAGATTTGGGGAAGTTTTTATGAGTCAAAGTTTTTGTTTTAATCTAATTCACCTTATAAATAAATCAGCTGATAAAATAATTTACAGTAAATCAACATTTTAATTTGAAATAAAATGATGAAATAAATTTGTTTTTTTCAATAAAATCCTTAAACCTTCGAGTGAATTTTACATTTTTCCATAGAGGAGGAAGATGAAAGCCTTAAAATGACACCTCAATTATGCAAATTGATGCAGATATAAGGAAGTTATGGCGTACCGACTGAAAAAAGTACTTTAGAAATTGGTTTTATCTTATCTACTAAATGAACAAGAGTTTATGTATGCTTTAATTATAACTGGTGGTTTTTACAGAGATAACTACTTCATTGTTCTCAGTCAGTTTGAAAAGCTTGGTGCTATAGTCACAATAAAGAAGGATTCCATCCAGGGATTAGAAGAGGATCGCTCTGTTTATACTATAAAGTAAGTATTTCTAAAATCTAGGTAAAACTGAAACTACTAACCTTTGCTTGTCAATCAGAAGGGCGGCAGGAACTTACTTCTGAGAAGTCCATCACTTTTTGATTGCTTGAAATTGGATTCATTTTTCCTTAACATTGGGGTTGAAATAAATGAACAGGGTTAAGTAACAGCTGGCATGTAGGGTATGCAGGTAGGGGTTAATGCAGATTCGTGGGTGCATTAGGCCATAGACAAAAAGAATTAAACATAGAATGACGGCTGTGCTGCGGTTAGCATAGGTTCTGGCGTCCGCCGCTGGGAGCGCCATGTAGTTACGGCGTACACGGTACGTAACTACACGGCACTCGTGTAGCAGTGGACGCCAAGTCCTATGGTAATCGCTGGTACGGCTGACGGTCTATATTTAATTTTTTTGTCTATGATTAGGCCTAGGCTATGTTTAAAAGCTAGGTTAGATTAGTGTAACTTATAAAACCCTAAACTAAACTAATCTAAACTTATAGGTTAGATTAGTGTAACTTGTAAAGTGTAACTTATAGTTTTCCGGGTTGATTATTTATGTTACATCTAATCTGTTTTCCCAAAATTGGGTTAAAGAGGTTGTTAGATTTTTAAATGCTTGCTTTTTCAATGTTTTGTTAGTTTTAAGATTTGAAATTTAATTTTAGCACATCACAAGTTGAAAGTTTGATACTCAAAATGTTTACTCTAAATACAAAAATATTAAATATGGTGTTCCCCAGGGATCTATTTTGGGCCCTCTTTTATTTCTTTTTTTATATGAGGGGGTTCCCACTAGCCGTCGATGGAGGAAGTTCAGTGTGTCTTTATGCTGATGACACCAACATCACAGTTACAGGCAATTTGCAAGAGGAAGTCAAACTGAAATCTTTTCTAAATCTTTTATCAATTAATGATTTCTCAAGTAGCAAAAATCTCCTAATAAATTACAGTAAATCAAATTTTATATCATTCTCCACAAAACAATCAAGATGTAAATTGAACCCGAATATTTACCTTGATAATTCAAACTTGAGTCAAGTGGAGTACACAAAATTTCTCGGATTGATATTGGATCAAAACCTAAATTGGGATAAGCATGTTGAGCATGTAATTGATAAAATGTCAAAAGGTAGATATGCCCTGCGACAAATGTCAAGGGTGTGTGATATTGATACTTTAAAAACCACATACTTTGCATTAATAAATTCTCACATAATCCTATGGTATAGCAATTTATGGGAGGAACTACCCAGAAAAATTTGGATAAAATTCTTCATCATCAAAAAAAAACACTCTGAATTATTTTCAAAATTAAAAATAAACGCCAATCAATGAAACCATTCTTTTCTAAATTAGGTGTTATGACAGTCTATGACTTGTATATGAAACTATATTACATGTAAAAAAATTAAAACTCCAAACTAATAGTACAAATATTCGACACAATAAATTAAGGCGTCTAGGCAGGTTGAACGACATAAATTAAAGTTTTTTGAGAAGAAATGAAGTTTCATTGGCATAAAATTCTTATTTAATTTACCTAAAGTTATAATAGAGGAAAAAAGTTTTGATGTTTTTAAAAAAAGATTGAAAAATTATCTCTTTTCATTGTCTTTGTATTCTTTGGATGAATTTTGGAACTCAAGAGAAATCATAAATGATAGTTTAGAACGATGATTTGATTTAATTTTGTTTTGTTTATTCATCTTAAGCTTAACATTTGTTTTGAAAAGATAATGATTGTTTTAGCGATATAAGTAAAGCATAATTCATCTTTATATTTATTTGACGCTATTCATTGTATAAAAACTTGTACTGTGAATGAATAAAGGGAATTTGAATTTAATTGAATTGAAAGGTTGATTGAAAAGGAGGACTTTTGTATTGGATTGAATGAAGTTATCTGCGTACAAATATATTCCACTGTGAATGTTTTTTAACCAGACAGAAGAGTCAATTTTTTAGTAGGTATGATCAAGATCAAGTTTAGACCTAGACCTACCTATCAATAATTGATTATTGTTGAGCAGAACAGTTCTTGGTGATGAGGAAGGCCCGGCCCACATCGTAGCGAGATACTTGACAGAACAGTTGGGTCTGAGAAAACCTGCTGTGTTCAGTGTGTGTCTACGAGACAGTAGTCTGCGTACTTTGCGTGATCTGGCTTGCGTTCTGCGTGATCTGCGCGACTGGTCATGATGAAGGAACAAGTGGTTCCCTGTAAGTAATTTTTCAGCCTTTCATTTCGATTTACGAATAAGACTCGTTATCAAGGTTAACTTCTTATTGAGATGAATGAAAAATTACGCATGTTATAAAGGTGACTAGAGTGTTCTTATTGTGATTCCACTCTCTTACAATGTTTGCTCAGTATTTAATATATCCTTCAGCCATGTTTCAAGCCTTTCAAACCTTGTTGGGATAAAAAATCTTGAATCTCTCTCTTGTATCTTTAGGTTTTAGGATTTTTTTTTGTCTTCCTGAGCTAGAAATAATAAGATTTAATAAAATGAAGTAAACTAAATCAATTAGTTCAATGTTGTTGTAGAACATTACAAATACTTTACCTACCGCACTTGCTTTAAGCTTTCATAAGTAAGTATATAGATTGAGCAGTTTAAAACAGTATTTATATCTTGTTCACAGCAATAATAATTGACCATAAAATACAGCTCTTATGAGACACAATGGATTAAACATACTCCCTTGTATGCCATTGTTATGGATCAGTTAAAGACACTTGTAAGGGAAGTTTCCATCCGGTTTATGCAAAGTTTGTTTGCGAGGTTAACTATTTATTTCTTAAAACTTTGTAAAGAAATTGTTTAAAGTATGTAAAGAAATTTGAGATAGGCTCTAACAATCTATTTGTAGGCTATTCCTATACCTCTGGTATGATCACCCAAGAGTTGAAGCACGGATTGTAAAAGCTGCAAAAAACAGCAGACTGAAACTTAAACAATATGATTCACAAACCAAAAACAGGACTTATATTTTACAGAAGCCTCCTTGGACTCAAAAGTCAACTCTATACAAGACTTACTCTTTGTTTCTTTGTCCAGATGGTTTGACTGTGTCTACATCCAAGTTCGGTCAGCTCGTCATTGGTCCACCTGGCAGCGGCAAGTCTACATATTGTGATCACATGGCCAAACTGCTCGTAGAAATCGGAAGGAAAGTCGCTATTGTCAACTTAGGTAGATGTATTTTCAACCTTTTACTTGCATGTTTAACTTTAGAGTCAGAATTACATTAGAGAAGTACACCGTATGGAAATTTCTGAGATTCCTCACACCTCTTACTGTTATTTACTTTAGATAGTTGTACAATTTGAATCTCTTTATCAGTCAGGTTTGGTGTGCAACTCATGGGACAATTGCCTGTCTGTAGATCAATGAGATGTTGACAGCTTAAGAGAATACTTTGGTTAAAATCAAGCATTTTGTTATTTTTTCTTAATCTTACTCTGTAGATCTTCTGCAAACTTGTTATTTATTATTGACAGGGTTGGTACGGTCAGGGAAAACCTGGAAAAGTCAGGGAATTTTGTTGGTCTGGAAAAGTCAGGGAATTTTGGAAAAAATCTGGAATTTCTCTTGAAAGACTACATTTTTTACAGATATGCTACATTTTGCATCTATGTCTCAATACTTGGTCAAAAACATCAAAGTTTGACGAAAACATCGATGTAACAAAAACATCGTGAACCTACCATCGATATAAAAAACTTCGAACATCGACAGACATTCTATCATCACCCTCTGATTAGTGATTACTGGCTTTGAACGCACCGAGCTAGTTAGTACCGTGATGCGCGGAAGGATAGGCCTACATTCATCGTTTCAATTTCAATACGATACTGAATACAATTCCTCATTGTATTTATACTAATACTGATTCAACCTTTAATAAACTAAAAAAAACTGCACTTGTAGGAGTTTATAAAAAAATATTTATCCTGTTAGTTGAAACATTTAATAGTTTAGTTTGGTACTACTTTTTGTCTCCGGTACAAGCATGGTAGTTATTTTTCCAATATCACATGTTTCTTCCGATATAAACCGATGATATTGCAAGCAAAATATCGATATATATCAGTATCAGAAGCACCGTATCGTCTATCTGCCAGTGTCAAGTCAAGGCCAAGTAGAACATAAAGTGTGAGGTTAAGTTAGTTGGTACTCTTACTTTTCCAGATTCCAGATGTTTAATTCTTTTCTTATTGGTTTTATGAGTAAACTATTTAGGCCTACATTTTTTCTAATAATTCTTGATTCTGACTATTCGATATAGTCTTTCGGTCTACCTGGAAAAAGTATAATATCAGTCTGGAAAACATGGGAAAGTCAGGGAATTTCATTTTCCAAAATCAGTACCAACCCTGATTGAAATTATTACCTAATTATTGTTATTTATTATTTATGATCTTTTTGTTGAACCATCTCTTTGGTTCACTGAATCAACAACGGAAGCAAAGGGCTAATTCAGCACTTATTTACAGACCCTGCCAATGACTTGCCTAGCTACTCAGCGACTGTGGACGTCCAAGAACTGATCACAGTGGAGGATACAATGGCCCATGTCCACCTAGGGCCTAATGGAGGACTCGTCTACTGTATGGAGTATTTGGAGAAGAATTTGGACTGGCTCACCAACAAACTCAGTCAGCTGAGTGGCCACTACTTCATATTTGATTGTCCAGGACAGGTAGGGCCTATATTTTACTGTACTTAAACCGGTGCAAAGTATGGGTCCATAGGTGCCTCAATAGTTTGCACAAGGAATCGGTTCAGGCCAGACTTAATTTTCTTGCCAAACTCGTGTCCACTAATTCGTATCAAAAGTGTATGGGAGCCTTAATTTTTTATCGCAGAAAGTGTCTAGGAAGATTGTTTAAAACTTCTAGATCACAGGAAATGTTCACAATCAGGGCCTGATTACCCATTAGGCTAATTAGGCTGGAGCCTAGGGCGCCAGTCAGCCAAGTGTTTTAGGGGGGGGGGGGGTGCCAGACAGCTACGACTTAAAGTTGGGACTGGGGGTGTAAAGGCCCTAATAAAATAGTTTTAGGCCTAGGTGATTAACAGTTAATTTAGAAAGTACGTATATTATTGTTTGGTTTTTTGATATTTTAGGTTAGGTCTACTTTTGATTTAATACAATCATATGTTTAATAAACTGTAAAATAAATACATTATTTTAAATCAAAAAGTTTTACATTCCTTGAACAACCGATTTGTTACTATTTTAAGCCTCGTTCGCACTAGTGCAGCACGACACGGATTGGTGGCCATCATGGCATTTGTTTAACATTGAACATAAGGCGAAAAATTGCAGGTTGTCCGTTGCCGGCGTCCCTGGGACTGCCGGCATTTTCCACCATATGTTCATAATGTTAAAAAATTGTGTGACGGCTGCCCGTCCGTGCCGTGCCGCCCTAGTGCAAACGAAGCTTTATAAGGTCGTACTGTGAACTTAGTTTAAACAATGCTTTATTTTCTGTGTCTATACTCGACCAGAATTAATAGTGCCTATGACTATGTCATATTGTCAGCTGTTGAATTTAAAATATTATCTCAAAGTCAAAAGATTTGCAGTTTTAAAAGCTCCTAATCAAACCATGCATTAATTTATGATCAGCTTTCTTTTGTTTTTAAATAAACTGAATATTAGTATAATGCCTTTGGTAATTTTTAATTTTTGAATTCAGAATTAGTAATCATACTTTGAAATTTTGAAAGTGGTGGCAGAGAGGAAGGCTAGTGGTAGGGAGGAGGGGGGGGGGCGTGAAAAACCGTCAGCCTACTGGCGACTAGAGCCTTAATCAGGCCCTGTTCACAATTCCTGGCGACCAAGTAAAATGTACTTGATTGATGAAGATGTTGATTGCAAGGCATGACTATGTAAGATAAGTTTTCGCGACTGCAGGAGACCTCCACAAGTTTTTCCATATGTAAAATTATAATGATTAAGGACTACTGGTTCCAGTGTGTAGTGATAACTATCCTCTTAAAGATATGAATCAAATGTTAAATCACAATATTGCATACAGTCTAAAAAAATTATATGCCTAGAATCAACAAAATTTAAATTTTAACATTACAGGTAGAGCTGTATACCCACCACAACTCAATGAAGAACATCATGATGAAGTTGAAAGAGATGAATTTCAGACTTTGCACAGTTCATCTAGTAGATTCCCATTATTGTAGTGACCCAGGTTAGTAACAATTAGGGCTTTGTTTAATTTCCTCAATGCTTGTGAAACTTGTTACAGTTTTAAAGATAAACTTTCAAACCCCGTAATTGTTCAAATTTACGTCAGCCTGTTAGTGGATGAAGGATTGTTCTCAAAACAGTTAGCTCAGAACGTTAGTGTCTTGAGTTGATAAGCCAGTTTGACACTAGTTGTCTTCTGTATTGTATAACTATAGTCACCACTGTCTACAGATCACCACACAGGTCAGTTGGGTTATAGTGACAACTGACTTAACTTAGATATACAAAATCAAATAGAAAGAAACTAATCTTTCAAAAAATCCCTGGACAAGATGGATGTTTTGAAATATCGCACGTACATTTTTAAGTAGTAATCAATTTATATACCTCTATCGCTTATTAAAAGATTTATTTTTTCCGATCAGATAAATTTGACATCAGTATTCTATGCAACTAAATATGAGTGTTCCAGTAAACAAAACTGTCATTCAAGCTCAAAAGATAGCTGTGACGACTATTATCTCCTAGAAAGCTTCTTGAAGGGAATATTTTTGTATTCCTAATGTCGACTTTACCATCTCGTAGCAGGGCTGGCTTGGTACCAAACCCTTAACCAGACCAAAAACGGCCTTTCCCTACAACTTAAATTGGCCCTTTAATTAGAAGACTGTTCAATCTGTATTTTTTTTTTCAGGCAAATTCATCTCTACTCTGTTACTCTCTATGACAGCCATGCTGCAGATGGAACTGCCCCATGTCAACGTGTTATCTAAGATAGACCAGGTATGGGAGAACCGAAAGTTTTCTGTTCCTTATCAAAAACTTATCTATACTTTAAACCCATTAATTGGTTTAAGTTTGTTTCACTTGTATATACAGTGTAAGCATGTTAATCGGCATTCGATGTCCAGCACTTTCAGTAATCCAGCTTAAGACAGACCTTTAATATTTTTTAATGCTTATTGAGCCATGTTAGCGTTTGAGAGAGTCAGGAGCGATCGGCATACGTTGAGAGCGACAAAAACATTAGTTTTTTAGAAGACATTCATTAATCGAGCAAATCTAATGATCCGCCAAAGTCTCAAGCGTTCCAGATTAGCAAGCATCTATTGTATTTTCAAAGCATAATCTCTTCATAATTCTCTTTTTGGCTGATTTTATAAAATCAGAACACATTTTTATAAATCAATTGTTCTGTTATAAATTAATAACTAAATTTTATGTACAAAATTGGTAATGGTTCCATTATCAGTCATCTTAAAACACAGTTACACTTCTCAAGCCAACCATTTAAACTCAATGCCTTTTATTTGCTTATTTGCTCTTTTGGCTATTGCCACAGTGATATGTTGGGTACTCGATATCACTAAACATGGTAAACATAATTATTTTTTTTGCAGGTAAACAAACATGGAGATAAGCTCAGGTTTGGACTGGACTTCTACACTGAAGTTTTAGACCTTGAGTATCTTCTAGACTCACTTCAGCAAGACCCTTTCACTGCTAAGTGAGTAGAATTGGTATATTTATAATGCTATATGCAACACTATTCAAACATTGAGGAAATTGAGTAGGATATATGCAATCTATAGATTTTTGGATTTGTGAAAGGGATTGCTCTTGGCCGGGATTTTGATTTGTATAATAAAGAGATAGCAGCTAGCTTACCTTAAAGATAGTTCAGATAGGCCATAGAACAGACAGAAAATACCCAATATATCGTCCTCGTGGGACTTTGTCAAGTGTATGCAATGAGAGTTAAACTAAAATATAAATTCCCTTTTACAATTTAAGCTAGTAGACTATCACTTTATTCTGAAAACTATTGTTTAAGAGTCCTTGATGTTATAACCCATAAAAGTCCTGTAATAATGTTGGACACGGCTCAGGATTCAGTGGAGAGGGCTGTTTTCAATAAATGTGTTGCGTGACAAGAGTAGTTATTAATATTAAAAAAAAAGGAATCAGCTGGAGTCAAGGGCAACAGATGTAATTATTTTCCTCACTCTACTAGTCATATGCTGATTATGCCAAAGAATATTTTCTAATAGTTTGTTGCTTTGGCATAGTAAATGCCAAGTAGTGATGTGTCAAAACCGAATCTCAATTATTAAAACTTTTGAAAAGTTTTGTTTCGAGATAAGTTTTGAAATTGAAAATTTGGGCACTTTTTTGAAACTGCTGACATTTTTTGTGTCATTAATACTTATTGTTTATAACACTGTTTAGACACAAGCTGGTCGCAATGGAGCAAACATATCCCCCATTAACACTAATGAAACAAGTAAATAGTATTCTTAACTGCAAAAGGCAACTTAAATACTGGAACAACTTACAATTTCAGTTACAGTTTCATCGATATTTAATAAACACAAAGAAATATTGACCACTAAATGTTCTAATCTATATATATAATTCTGTAAGACCAAATTTTTACCAGAAAATTGTGGACATCTGGTAAGTCGCAGAAAAGTGGGAGAGGTCTTAAATTAAAGGTCTTGACCCCAGGGACTCAGGAAAAATAGCAGAATTCCCATAAAATTACCAGAAAACGAGATATAACGTAAAATATCCACCATAAGAAATGCATGGGGACTGAAAAACGTCTGCATTCTATCAGCTGTTACTTATTTATTTGCATTGTTTACATTTATTCCGAAAGTCAATGTTGGTAAATAATGTTTCCAAATGAATTGTCCTTAATTTTTTTGTTTTCCGTTTTTATAATGAGTGACGTAACTAGACAGGGTAGGGTAGGGGAAGACCTGCAAGACGTGGAAGAATGTCCAGGAATTCAACAGACTTAGGAAATGCAAAAGAGAACGTCATGTAGGGCCTAACTGTGAAAGAAATCCAGAAGCAGTTTTACAACCTGTCTTCAGAAGAACGCTGGAAAATGAGTTTCAAGAGTGTTGTTTCTCACAATCTAGGTCCTCTTAGCACTTGCATGCATTGCGGCTAGGGATGGACGGGATTGAATTTTTAGTTCGGGACGGGACGGGACGGGATTTTTATTTCCTTCCCGATTTTCGGGACGGGACGGGACGGGATTTTTTTCTGTGCATAAAAAGAATGTCTTTGAGTATTGCAGTTACCAAAAAAGACATACAACATCAATTTTTACCGTTTGTGGCACTGATTTATAAAAAAACCAAAAAATGGGTAACAATTTACAGGTATCTATAGAAACCTGTGACTCGTGGTCGAAATGACTGGCGGTCACGGTGCGATCGTCAAAATGACCGCGGTCACAGGGTGATCGTCGGAATGACTCGTGGTAAGGGGGGGATCGTCGGTATGACTCGCGGTCACGCCATGATCGTCGGTATGACTCACGGTCACGGCGCGATCGTCGGTATGACTCCGCGGTCACGGCGTGATTGTCGGTATGACTCCGCGGTCACGGCGTCATCGTCCGTATGACTCCGCGGTCACGGCGTCATCGTCGGTATGACTCACGGTCACGGCGCGATCGTCGGTATGACTCCGCGGTCACGGCGTGATTGTCGGTATGACTCTGTGGTCACGGCGTCATCGTCGGTATGACTCCACGGTCACGGGGTGATCGTCGGTATGACTCGCGGTCACGGCATGATCGTCGGTATGACTCGCAATCACAGCACGATCGTCGGCATGACTCCGCGGTCACGGCGCGATCGTCGGCATGACTCCGCGGTCACGGCGCGATCGTCGGCATGACTCCGCGGTCACGGCGCGATCGTCGGCATGACTCCGCGGTCACGGCGCGATCGTCGGCATGACTCCGCGGTCACGGCGCGATCGTCGGCATGACTCCGCGGTCACGGCGCGATCGTCGGTATAACTCCGTGGTCACGGGGTGATCGTCGGTATGACTCGCGGTCACAGCACGATTGTCGGCATGACTCCGCGGTCACGGCGCGATCGTCGGTATGACTCCGCGGTCACGGGGTGATCGTCGGTATGACTCGCCATCACGGCATGATCGTCGTTATGACTCCGCGGCCACGGCGCAATTGTCGAAATGACTTCGTCTCCTGCGTTCGCAGACCTATCGCTCGCAATAGCGGCGTCATCGGCACTCGCGAACGGCAAAATCGCTGACGATCGGACCATATCCCGTCCCGAAAAATTCCCGAATCAAAGGTAATCCCGTCCCGATAATCGGGAATATTTTTTTCCCGAAAAATTCCCGAAATTTCGGGACCCGTCCATCCCTAATTGCGGCGCATTTCACTTCCGCAGAGGCCACAAATGGACATTTCAACGCATGTTGCCACAATGGACATGCCACAACCACAAGTAAATGACGAACTAAAAGAACTGTTTTTACATGATTCAAACTTCATAAAAAACATAAGGCAATTCAACAGTGCAATGGCTTTTGCGTCGCTTTCCGCTACACAAAAAGAGATTCCGTGAAATGGGCCTTACTGTCTTAAAATTCAGGGACAAATTCATAAATATATTTCTGACTTACTACCGCGAAATGGGGAGTTGCCTTCATAATAATTAATAATAATTTTAACCTTTACATTTGGTTCTCAATATTGAAAGTATAACAGAATTCGTAAGATTACAAAACAAATCTTCAATTTTAAACTAGAAAAGATGTGCAATGTTTGGCTGTATGATATCAGCTCTGATTCGTCACTCTCCGGGCTCAGGTCAAACCGTGTGCACGTTTCCATTTGTTAATATGTTCTGTTATTAATTTAATCATTATTTTACAATTGTATTTCATTGACACATCAGAAGCAACTAATATACGACTCCAACGGAAGGAAAACCAATATATAAAACAAGAGACAACAAGTAACATGAAATTGATAATTTTAAAAACATATTTCGAATATTTGTCTTTTTATATAAGTTTTTTTTAGGAATGGACGAGATTGGATTTTTAGTTCGAGACGAGACGAGACGAGATTTTTTATTTCTCATAAAATTTCGAGACGTGATCGAGACGGGATTTCCCTTCTCATACACAACGGGAAATGCACGTTCAAAATTTTTACCTGATTTTGTAACATTGTTAGATGACTGTTTAAATACAAAAATAATGATAATAGGCAAGAATATTTACAATCTTTTATTAAAAAACATCAGCATAACATTTTTTTTATAAATCACGCTTAACTTATTAAAAATGCCTACGATTAGGAAACAAAGTGATATCAGTTAGGATAGAGTTCAACTTATCCTAAAATAAAATAAATCATAAAATAAAAGCAATATTAGTTTTTATAAAATAGTTACTTGTTTTGACTTTTTATGGTAATAAAACATTCCTCACACTGCTTACACTTAACAAAACTTCTCAAATATTATTAAAGTAATATTATTAAAATAATTACTGTAAAGTAATATTTACATTAAAAGAATTAATTAAATAAGAACGCCTTCGCAAAAGAAACGCAACTACAACACGCTCCTGTATTGCGGGTATTGCATTGACTTTCTGCAGGCGTTTTTAATTTTTTTTTTTTTTTTTTTTTTTTTTTTTTTATTCTCGTCTCGGTAAAAATCTCGGCCAAAAAGAAATCTCGTCTCGTGTAACGAGATTTAAAATTTCCCGAAATTTCGAGACTTGACCATCCCTAGTTTTTTTACTGTAGTCTAAATTAGGGGCTATGGCCCCTACAGGCCACTAGTTAATCTAATATTCATGTTTATGGTAATATCAGGAGTTACATTTATTTCTTTTGTGACCTTGGCAACAATCGTGTGTGGGCGTAACTTACAGTCTCCACGACTTCGGTAATCGTCTCCCGCAATGGCAGCAACACCCTTGAGTGTAACTTGCAGTCTCCGCAACTTTGGTAAACATCTCTCGTGACCGTGGCAACACTCATGCGTGAGCGTAACTTACAGTCTCCACGACTTCGGTAATCGTCTCCTGCAATGGCAGCAACACCCTTGAGTGTAACTTGCAGTCTCCGCAACTTCGGTAAACATCTCTCGTGACCGTGGCAACACTCGAGCGTGAGCGTAACTTACAGTCTTCACGACTTTGGTAATCATCTCCCGTAACAGCGGCAACACCCGTTACCGGCGACAGTGTCATGCTCGTCTGCCATGGTTACGGCAACATCCCTAATCAGCTTTTCGGTTAACTGATCGCACACGGATTTATGGCCCCAGACAGGAAACAAGTAAAGAGTCAGATATCCCGAGGAGTGGGTTGTTCCGAGGTCGGATATGAGAGGTTCTACTGTAGTCCATTCATAGCCCAAAAGTGGGTATATGATCCTTGCTCATTTTCTACCCTCAGCTTTGCCTTGGCCAGGAAACGTCAGTTTGTGTAAAAAATATTCACTTTTGCTTTGATAAAATATACCAATTTTATTACTTGTCTATATATGGTTTGCAGATATAAGAAGCTAAACGCAGCCATGGTTTCTCTGGTGGAGGATTATAGTCTTGTATCATTCCTACCTCTGAGTGTGCATGACAAACAGTTGTTGCTGCGTTTACGCGGTGCAGTAGATCGCGCCGGCGGTTACATCTACGGAGCTGGCGAAGAACGAAGTGTACAGGTGAGTTTTGGAAGCCCATCTTGAATTTATAAATATGAATCCAAGTATTTTTTTATTTAGAATCAAATTGGGTGTAGGCCTATTGATAATAGTGGTTGGCATCTTGGACTTTGGTACGAGAGGGACAGATTCTTTTCCTGGCATATCCACAATGTTTTAGGTTTGGACCACTTTCACTCTGAAAAGGATTTTAGATATCCACATTAAAAATGCCGTTGACCTGGATGATAACTAAATGATACAAAAAACTTGGTTATGATCCTGTTCAATTGATTGATTGGTTGATTACTTTATCATAATACACTATTTTCTTGTTTGAAGAATTCTTGCATTCTTTCAGGTAGTTTTCTTGCTTTGAGTTGATTTTGGATTTATTCTTGCTAGTCTAGTGTTTAGTGTCTTGAAGTTTGGTGCGAAAAAGATGGATTCTACCCACAAAGATTGTATGAGTTAGGGCTACATTCACTTAAAAAAGTGTTGAGTGTTTTTTTCAGAGTGCCACTGGCGTTTAAACTAACAAAACAAATAGACTGTCATTCAAATAGGTTTTGTCATTCTGTATGTGTTGTTATTTGAAAAGTAAACGCTCCAAGGTTTATAAGCTGAGAATTTGTTGGGAAACGTCAATCAACGTCATTTGATGACTTGTTTTCAGGCGTTGCTGGCTTGTGCAGTAGGTGCTGAACCTGAATCTGACCGAACAGGGACTGTAAGAGATCAATACTCCATCAATGATCCTGAAAATGATCTTATGATGGTAGATGACCCAGATCCTACATAAAATAAACTATTTAATTTTTTTACTTAATTGATTGTGTTTAATATTTTCCTTTTATTTTATTTGGTACTTGAGTATTATATAGAGGCCACTTGTTTTACGGCATTTTGCGGCGGCTATATTAGGTTGTGTTCTCATAAATATCATTGTAGGACTTTCCTCGTTTCATTATAAATCGAACAATACCAGATGAGTCATACATTCTATTTATGATAACACAACCTGTATAAGGGTTGTCTCTGTATAGTACCAAAGTACCTTTTATTTCTTTCTTATTCAAAAGTCCTCTAAAATCAATCTGTTTTGAGTAAACCTATTAATGTTTATATATTTGTGTTAGTAGAGTATTAACACATTCCCTGTGGTTGAATGATGACCATGCGCGACCGGGTGGGGAACAGCAAATGTGAATTTTACTTGCCCTATCCAAAGTTATTTTATTAACTAAACTACCACCTCCTTCACTTATTAATAGGACTGTTTGTAAAAGAACCTGGAACTTGCCAGAAAGTGTAAAGAGAGACCCTTATACTTCTTTTTCTTTTGCCAACACTACTTCAACTGTCTGTAAGCACAAGCTTGAAAAGGTCATGAAATATAAAATAATGCTGTAAAAAATACTGTCCATTTAATAAAATGTAACTACACCAAAATAGTATCAGAAGTTTGCTAGTTTTAGTCTATTAACTTATATCCTAGTACTTTACAAAGATGTACAATGTTTACAGCTAAACTATTGTTATTGTTATCAATATCTTAATGCACCACTGTTATCATCTTTGGTGTAATGTTGTACAGAAGATTATGATAAATATTTACTTTAGCTCAAACAGGACCTATATTATTATGTCATTTGACTAACCAAAGTGCTATAGAAAAATGAAAAACTATTTGTGACTTAAAATATAAATTTCACTTTTTGTCCACTCAAATAGGTAAAAATTCCAAACAATCCTTAAAAATTGCATTTAAGCGCAATTAATCAAGAACCTACCTAATACAGCCAAAAAGCTTTATTTTACTAATTTTTGATTTTATATGTCATGTATTAAATTCTACCCTGCTCTTACAAATGGAACAAAAATGTTCAAAGCTTTTCTAAAACAGTTTTTGTTTTTTAAGTTGGTTTGATTTAAAAATAATTTACACATATGTACACCATTTACAACTATTAGTCAGAATTAATTATTATTCAGAAAAGATTTTTCTTGTTAATAAATAATTAACCAAATTGAACAAAAATATGCGGTGTGCTAGTTATCACAGAAAACACATTAAATCTGTTTATTTACAGGTGGCAACTATTGTTAAACTACACTCTCAGAATTTTTTTATCATAGGCCTACATACTAAAATAATAAATTCACAAAGTGTATTAAATGTGAACTTATATTACTTTTTTCAACTGGTTTAATATTTGAATGTCAAGAGTATTTCAAATCAACTTAATTTGGAACATAATGGCACAAAAATAAATTTTTCATTTCACTGAAAACTAATTATGATGTACAATGGCGTGTTTTACAAACAACATTTTTTGCTCTAAAATATCCTAAGTTAAAATTAAAACTTAGCTTCTGAATCGGACAAGCAATTCAACAAGCGGTTTGCAATTCATAAAGTATTCTACAACATTTTGAAAATGTCCATTTTAAACTATTCAACAAAATAAATGCATTTTAAAGAAATTTACAATGTTAATGTACACTAAGATCTTTTCTGTTAATAAAGTTAACATCTTCTGCTAAATAAATCTACTTTCAAATGGACTGAGTCCCAAAATATATCACAAGAAAATTAAGCTCTCTAAGAAGAATGTTTTAATTTAAAGAATAACTCTTACGCTTAAACTGTACAACTCCTAAGATATTATTTGTATTTAAAACTCAAGCTTGTCTTAACCATTGTGTTTTGTGGGTTTTGCCCAATTTTTTTTTAATATAATAGTTGAATCAGCCACTCACAGAATGTGCTGCAGTCTAATATTTTATCCCTCTTTTTTTTTACTGATATAGTAACATTAAAGATGCTAGAGCAGTATAGCTACACTAAGTTGTTCTATCAGTTTAATTTAGTCAAAAATATTGACATACTCGACAGAAATCAATGATGAATTTACATCAGCGCCCTCTGTCGGTGGCTCAACTAAAAAACGTTAATTTGTATCCCAAAACTACGACGGCAACATGGCAATGGAATGTCTAGTTTTATCCGTATTCAAATGTGGAGCATAGATTGGCAAACTATTAATCTTAGAGAGGCATTGTTGAACTCAACCCAGATCGGTGGTTTGTTCACATGGACCTGAAGGACTCTTGGAACTGAGACCAGCTGCGCTCGAAAGGTGCAAAGACGACGACCAAAACAAGGAACGCAGAGAGAACTGCGACTCCGAGGACCAAAATCGTCAGCATGCACTTGCGGAAACCAGCATGCTGGAAGAAACAAAGAACTTATTACATCAACCGGTATATATAATATCTTTATTGTATTTGTTGTCGTACTGCAGCAAAAACAGCTATTATTGATACATGCGTTGCCGGTTAACAGCTCTTTACTACCTACGGTAAAAGTTAGCTGTTGTACACTTTGATTAATAATTTTAATAGGCTACTTTTAACTGAAATGGCGACCAGACCATACAAAGGTTTAAGGTATGAATGGAGATGAGTGGCGCGATCTTGTATGAAATTATATTAAATTAAAAAGTGCTTTATTTAACAAAATGAAAGGTTTGCAATCATACAATAACAAAATAATAAAGAGCCTAACTATACAATTACAAAATTTTAAGTTGGCCAAGCACTTACAGCAATCTTGTAGTCCCAATCACTAAGGCTGACATGTTCTTTAGATAGGACTGTTAATTAATAGCCTATGTAGATAATACAGTTTATAGTGGAATCCGAACCATTGTAAGCAATTACATTTATTGAAATTATGTATAAATTTGTTTCATCAGTTATAATTGCATTCTATTCAACATATCAATTGTATAGAATGTACACTAACACAATCATAAATGATAGAATCACTTAACAACTACTTATTAAGGAAATTGACAGGAAAGCAGGCTTACCTTTAAATAAGTCCATAGAGACACATAAAACATCACAAAATTAAAAGTAGAAATTTTCGTAGTCACTGACCACTTTTTCAACCACTGGAGATTGGAGAAATGGCAATGGCAGTTGCAATTTCAATCTATTACACCTTGTCAGGGTTGCCAACACAGATGAAGAGACTAAAAATTGTTTTTACTGTTGCATATGTATGAATGTGTTCACTTATTATGAATAATCCACTATATTTACACTGTTCTGTATTTACACATATGTACACACACATATTAAACATTTTTTATATATACTAGCCTGCTATGGAAGGTGAGGAATGGGGTTTATCTTAGATTAAGGTTTGGTGGGTTTCTAGAATGGGTGAACCATTGGTAGCTTAGTTCCCATCTTCTCAGTTCTGAGGGGTTGCAGTTTGGAGGCAGTTGTTTTATTATTTTTGAAGAGTAGCAGCTATTAAAATCAGATTTTGAGTGGGATGAGGCATGGTTGACTACTGGTTTGTCTTTATAATTATTTTTTACATCTTGACGATGACCGTTCATTCTGGTACGGAACTGGTTCTTTGTTAGGCCTATATACTGAGCTGGGCAGTTTTTACATTGAAGCTGATAAATTACATTGCTGGTGCTGCAGGTGTTGTGTCCTTGAATCTTGAAAACTTCATTTGTGGCGTTGCTGGAAAAACTTGTGGTGGGGGGGTTGATGGGACACGTTTTACATCTGGAAGTATTACATGGGAAAGAGCCGTTTGGAGGTTTGTTTCTGGTTGCTGTAATTGGATCCGGTATCTTAGGATGAACAAGAATCTTTTTGATGTTAGGTGGTTGGCGAAATGTGGTGGTTGGGGGGGTTTTCAGGAAATCCTTTGTGTGTGGGGAAGCTTGGAGAATTTTGAATCCATCTTTTAGAATGGAGTTGAGGGATTGTAGGCCATGGTGGTATTCGGTTATTAGGTTTAGGTTTTGCTGTGGTTTTAGTTTCTTTGTTGGAGGGTTGTTTGATTGGGCTAAACGGATTTGGTTTTCTACAAGGTTTTTGGGGTAGCCTCTTTCAACAAATGCGTTGGAAATTTTCGAATTGAAATTGGAGAGTTCCTTTTCTGTCGAACAAATACGTTTGGCTCGGATGGCTTGGCTATAAGGTATAGATCTTTTGGTGTTGGCTGGATGACAACTGTCAAAATGTAAGTATTGTAAGTTATTGGTGGGTTTGATGTGAATGCCAGTGGTTATCAGTCCATTATTCAATTTCACGTTAACATCTAAAAATGTTATTTCTGAAGGTGAGTTGTTGTGGGTGAACTGTAAAATACTGAAATTTTGTAGATTCTTGAGGAATTCATTGAGGGATTCTGTTCCAGATGTCCAGATTAGAAAGATGTCATCTATAAAGCGGAACCAGCACTCAGGTTGTACTTTTTGCTGTCGGAGGAAGGCTTGTTCGAGGCGACCCATGAAGAGGTTGGCATATGACGGTGCCATTCTTGTTCCCATTGCTGTGCCTTTAGTTTGGATGTAATTCTTTCCCTCAAACTGAAAATTGTTTTTCTCTAGGATAAATTTGGCCAAATTGATAAGAAAAAAAGTGGATGGAAGTGAGTTTTTCGGTCGTTGATCAAGAAAGTGTTCCAAAGCTGCTAGGCCATGCGTGTGGGGGATGTTGGTGTACAGTGAGGTTACATCTACAGTTACTAGAATGGCATCAGGTGGCAAAGGTGTGGGAATCATTTGAAGTCTGTCTAGGAAGTGATTGGTGTCTTTCACATGGGAGGGTAGTTCTTTTACTATAGGCTGAAGATGGGAATCAAGATAGGCCGTGATTCTTTCGGTTATAGAGTTGCAGCTGGCCACAATCGGTCTGCCTGGAGGGGGTAAAATGTTTTTGTGGATTTTTGGCAGTATGTAGAATTGAGGTGTTTTGGGTTCTTTGTTAATTAGTAGGTCCAGTGTACTAGTCGAAATGTTCTGACGTGGAGCTTCTTGTTTTAGCCACTGATTTAATTCCTCACTAAATTTGTTTGTAGGATCCTCATCAGTTGGTTTGTATGTTGTTCTGTCTGAGAGTTGTCTGTAGGCCTCTTGTTTGTAGTCATCAGTGTTCATTACGACAGTTGTTGATCCTTTATCCGCCGGTAAAATCATGATGTCCTTGTTTTTCTGTAAAGATCGTAGGGCTGTTCTTTCAGGTCTGGTTAGGTTGTCTGAGTCTGAAAGATTGTTCTTAAAATTTGGATCAGTTATACTTTGCATTATATAGTTTATGTATAGTTCTATCGGATGATCTGGTTGTAGTGGAGGTGGGTCCCAATTAGATGGAGGTTTAAACTTCATTAGACAGTCTTCAGGCATGTTTGCGTTATTTAGAGCATTAGGATGTTCGTACAAATAGTATTGTATCCGGAGGTTTCTGGCAAAAGAGAAAACATCTTTACCTAGGCTGAATAGGTCAGGCTTCTGAGTCGGTGTGAAGGTTAGGCCTTTAGAAAGTACCCTAGTTTCATCCTCAGTTAAATGATGGTTTGAAATATTCATTATGGAGTTGGTGGAAGAAGTGGATGCTGGTTTTTCATTATTTGTTTTTTTATAAACTGGAGTTAGGTTAGGTGTTTTTGGTAGATGGGGAAGCTGCCCAGTTGGTATTGGAAGCTTAAAAAGAGAAGCTAGGCTAGGCCTATCACCTAGTAAGGGTATATCTTTGTTGGAAGGTTTCTGATAGGCCTCAATGTAGCCATAGTCATTTAACCTTTGAATACATAGTTTGGAGAGCTTTTTCAATTTGATTCCAGCAAGTTTTTCTTGAAGTTTATTGGCTGTTGTTATAGTTCTTACTATTTCTTCAATGAGGTTTGGAGCAGTACTTAGTAAGAGTCGGTAGTTGGAGTTGAGACTTTTGATCAGTTTGTATTGTTCAGATTTGTAATCTTCCAAAACAGTTTTTGTTGTAAGATATTGCTTTATAAGAGTTAATCAGTTTAGGCCACATAATTTTAACATAATGCAACAGTAAAAACAATTTTTAGTCTCTTCATCTGTGTTGGCAACCCTGACAAGGTGTAATAGATTCAAATTGCAACTGCCATTGCCATTTCTCCAATCTCCAGTGGTTGAAAAAGTGGTCAGTGACCACGAAAATTTCTACTTTTAATTTTGTGATGTTTTATGTGTCTCTATGGACTTATTTAAAGGTAAGCCTGCTTTCCTGTCAATTTCCTTAATAATTCCTGGCAAATGCCCTATCTTTTTATAAGTTAACAACTACTTATTTAGTTATTTGCATTAGTAAAATGTATATACAAATTAATAAATGTTTTGAGGGGTTATCAGTTTTCTAACATAGTTTGTTAAAAATATAGTTCACTTAAAAAAAAAATGCACTTGTGAACTTTAAACTTAGTCTATTAGATTATTTATTGATTGAAAACCACTTAGGTGGGGTCCCCATCTCAATAATTGATAATTGAAAGTATTGTGACGTAATTTTCCTGGCGGACGACAAGTGGGAAATTACGCCACCGGTAATAAAACGAGGATCCCAGGATTCGCCCTAGTCTGGTCGCGGGGAGTTTCCCAGGAGTCGATAGTGATTCGGATAGCCTAAATTTGATAGCCCTGGTTGTCAGAGCTCGAGACGAACGTTGCGGGTTACTAAACACCCTACTCGAAATCACCACTCTAGCCTAGGGCTTGTGGGGAAATAAATGATAATTTGACTTGACTCTGTGGGCAAATAGCTAAATGACACACTACTAGCTAACTTAACGAATCAACAAGTAAGCTAAGTAGTCACTCCGCTTACCTACGGAGTTACGTCGTCAACCTGAAACAAGCAAGGTTAGTACAAGATAGGCCTAACCTAGCCTAACTCCCACAGAGTCTGAATTTACTAAACAAGAAAACGAGTTGGCTTAAGTTGTCCAAGTGAGACACGAAACGAGAGAAAAACTGAAACTAAAAATAAAACTGCTCCAGGAGCTGATACGAAAAAAAAACTAAAACTTCAACTTCCTCACGTGTTCAACTTAAGCAAACTTCTGCAATAATTATCAAGCAGAAACCTGTCTGCTGGGGCCAACTTCGGGGCGTTTGGGAACTTTACAAAGGGGTTTAAGAATTTAAAAAGAAAGTCCCAAATATGGATTACGAAACGTTAATCGAAATGATCTGTCACCAACTCCGATACTTTAATTAAATGAGTTGGTTAAAGCGTATGACGAGGTCTGCGAATCAGGCCTAGCCTATGAACTTTGACAAAGTTCTGCCGAAAGAAAAACCTAAGTTGTCTAAGTTTTATTATACAACTTACCAAACGAAGTAATAATACTGTAAAAAACGATTTTTCGCGCACTCGATGCACCACAGAACTTATTGGGACTTTTACGACGAAGTAGTAGCACGAAAACTCTTCAAATCGAAGACGAAAGGACGAATAATTAGCGAATGCCTCAACAAAAGCCGGGAATACGAATGACAATCTTCACAAATCTTCTTCTTCCTTCACCTTCATCTCCGAATCGAGACGAAAGTTAAAACGTTTCCTGATTGGTCAACGAGTTACAGAAACCGAAAAAAACTGGCAGCGAAGGCAGGCGCATGGCAGCTTTAACAGGCTTACAGCCGCGTACCGCTCAAAAGTGACCCCGCTGCTCATCTTCTCTCCCGTAGCCCGGCCTCAGACGCAATCGAACAGCCAAACAACCAAACTGACACCAACGTCGTCTGCGGTCTTGGAATTTGAGGTTAGGTACGACGTCAGTTTAGTGTCGCGACTAGGCTTACTCAACAGCTTATGTTTAGCTGTTTAATGTTCGTGGTCTAGATCGTTATATTTTTACCCCCCTACCCATTTGACTCGTTACAGTATGAATAATGTGACACTCACCGGCGCGTCTTGTTTGCGGTCCATGGTGAGAGGCGAGCGAGAGTTCATATCTTTCATTGGGAAAGTGTTGATTCTCTTGCTACTAGAATTCTCACTCACACAACCACAGAACTGTGAACAGAAATCGTAAGGTGATAACACACACATATGTTTTCCTACTTGCAAGCTCGCCCTTTAGCTACATTCCTAACTGTTAAGTATTTTTGAGCTAAAGAAAGATTGTATAGAGAGTGTTCTCCACAACAGAGAAGGTTTGTAGGTATGATTCTACATTTAGATTTCTGGACTGAGACCACATAACTGCCAAGAGGTGGTGAAATATACTGAAGTTACGGGGCTTAACCAAATTTTAATAACCCTTTTCTAGCGGCGTCTGGAGCTTTGTTGGTTGAGAAAATATCACAACTTTAGAATCCAACAAAGACATATTTTACTGTTTCCGCTAGAAACCATGATGATGATACAAGGTTAAACCTGACACAAGTCCAATGGCTCTTAGAATAGCAGGTTTACCATACATAATTAGACAATTCAATATAATTTTCATTATTTTTTACCAATGAAGGTTTAAGCTGCATGGGAATAGTGATTTTTCTTTTGTCTTTTTTATCAAAGAAGGTATAGAAGCCATGGAGTAATCGTGAATTTGTTGACTGCGAAATCTTTGCAGACACATTCTGCAAACACGATAGTAAAAGCTTATCCTATTTCCTAAAACATACTCCGAATATTGATAAAACCCCAACCTTTGACTATCCGAAATGTGGTACGGTCCCAATTGATTAGATTAATTTGAGTTCTACTATACAAGCAAAAAGACTAGTGAAACCTTAAGGACTTAGTCTGGTTTCTTAGCTTTAATGATTTTTCTGGCTGTACTCCATGACAAACAAATATATGTTTTATCATTATTTGTTAATAAGCCTTGAAAACTGATTACTCACCGACAGTATGAGGTGGACGATGACGTAGAACGCAACGTACCCGACCAACACCCAGTCCATCCACTGAGGCAGTTCTGCTTTGCCTAGTCCTACAGCGAGGAAAATGGCTACAACTGAAACAGACAATGGTTGGTTTATCTTTAAATTCCAACTAAAAGTGAGCAAATAATTATTCATAAAAATATTTGCTAGGTCAAATAAGAGATACGTTTCCCTCAATCACAATATTTTTAGCGTAAAGGATGACGGGTGGTTTTAATAATAAACTAAGGGTTTTTGTTTAAAAGGAAATTATTCATAGAATTCATTAAATTTTCTAGGCATTACAAATTACGTCTTATGTTCCAATAAGATAAGAGTAGATTCAATAATTGGGACATCAGAACAGTTCAAGATAATAGATCGACGTGTATACAAGCCTCAAAAATTAATCAGGGGACCCTATTGATTAAATCCTTCCTTCAAACAAATAATACTTACTGTAAATCTTATATCCTGAAGAATTACGCCAAGCTGGCTGTGATTTTCTCCAAGGAAATATTCATACCTTTGTTATGTTATTATTTTTAAGCATTGATCATTGGCCATTGGGTTTAGTAAATTACCCTAAATAATTTCTTGATCAATTTATTTAATTACATTCTGTAAATTGTCCTAGCCAAAGAGAACGAGACAGCTGATCATAGTAAGAACAAGTATCTTGCTCTTATCTCACCCACATCTTCCAGCGATGTTTGGATTTAAAATAAAATATGTAAATTTCCCAAATTATGAGATAGAAGAAGGTAGCACCTAGTTTTTCTGTCAAATTGTGTGTGACTTGTTATTAAAAAATATTATCCTGGCAATTATAATGAGTAATCGATTTTCCTCACTTACTTGCACAAAGATGAGCAACGTTCCCGACCAGCCAATGGGCCCAATTAAACAGAGGCCTGTTAGAAGCACCAGGGTGAGGTCGACATAGAGCCATGAACGGCTGGATGAAGCACAGAAGAGTCGCTAACACTCCTACCAGGGCGTGAAGTACACTAGCACTGCTGACCCAGCCTCCTACCTCAGCAACAATCACCACGGCACCAGCCAAAGTCAGTAACCACACCAGCAGCATCAGCAGTCTGTGCCACTACAACAAACAGTATATCTGATTGAAACTGTCAATTGTCACTCCTACTAGGGCGTGAAGCACATTGGCACTGCTGACCCAGTCTCCTACCTCAGCAACAATTACCACGGCACCAGCCAAGATCAGTAACCACACCAGCAGCATTAACAGTCTGTGCCACTATGACAAACAATGTATCTGTGATTGAAACTGTCCTTGACAAGAGCGAGAAAAACACTCAGACTTTTGACAAACTCTTCTCTTGGGTAAGATCGTTGTGTATCCAATAATCCATCCATTCTCTTAAAGTATATCTTTTGAGAATACTTACTCCAAAGGTTCATGTTTTGTAAATAAAATTCTTTAAAAAAATATATCCATATATCATTTTTTCTATCTGTGCAGCACATCAAAATTTCACTTTGGAATACAAATATCAACATTGCTCATTATTGAATATTTAATTTGGTGTGTTCTTATGCCATTAGCAAATGCTTTTTGAAAGAGAAACGTCTGGTCCTTTAACTGTCCAATGTTGACCTTTTCTTAGATAGCATCATTAATTGATCTCAATGAGGAAATGATATCTGGATCCATAAACAAGACAACTTTTTGGGTCAAACTAGAGTACTTTATGTATCACTGTGCGGTAATGATAGTTAAGTTCATAAGAAACTTACAGCAAACCAGACGTCCTTGCCGCATACTGACGTGGTTATCCAAGTCTGACGGAAGTATCTCGCCAGCACGATACCCAGGGGTGCCAACCCGAGCCACGCAGCGATCATGAACGCTCCGTGAAGTCGAAGAAGGAGTTTACTGGCTTCAGAAAAGCCTCCAACGTCAGTCAGAGCTGCTTTCTGTGCACTGGATACGTAAATCAAGTCGTGATAACCTACTGTCTCAGCTGTAAAAATTACAAAGATTTTCTTCAAAACTTTGATTTTATGAAAATGAATAATAATACAGTAGTACCGATAGTCCAAAATGATTGGGACCGGACCCATTTTGGATTGCCAAACTTTTTATATTAAAATTTTTTTGTATTTTATTTTATTTTTTTTTTTAGGACGCTGTTTTTTACATGACCAAGGGATTGTGGCATTATCAATTAGATAAAATCCATTGGTGATTTGGCAGGATTGGAACCCAGGACAAAAAAAAAATGTTCACTAAAAAAATGGCGAAATGTTTACTAAAATACTCTATACAAAGTCTTTCTCGCACTGCCGCTACAGTATACTTCGACGAGGTACAACTTACTGTCGTTACATGACAGTGCTTAGCAGTTTTGGCTTTTCCCAATGAACAGCTTGAACTTGTCATCACTTTTTGCTACAATACACTGCATTAATGTCGTCACGCGACGGTATTGGTAGATTTGACTTTCCCCGATAAGTGACAGCACGTAACCTACTGAGAAATAATTACCTTGATTATTTTTTTATTTAAATAGGCCTACAATTTACCTATTCAACTACAGTAAAGCTTACAACAGGTTTCATACTGAGATGTGGTGACCAAAATACATTAATTAGGAATTTTATAGCGCATTTAACACTTTCTGATACCCATTTATAAAATTGAAAATATGTTGAGCCTGTAAAAAAATTAGTAAAATACTCACGTTTGAGTGAAGAACCAGCTGCCAGAAGGATGTAGTAGGGGTTTTGTAAATTGAAAGTGGTTCCCTGAACATTGGTAATAATTTCTCGGCTAACTCTGCAATAAATACTTCCGTCGATGTAGCTGCTATTTAACAGGTTGATACCATCTTGGTTCACCTATAAAGCAAAAATAAACATAGTATCACTTAGATGTGCAAAATTTTGTTTTCTCCTTATTTATCAAGAATAATAGGATAGGAGGATTAACTTTTGATTAACACATTGAGAAAATCTATTGATGTAGTGCATCACGAGCGCTCCTATCGGCCTACATCTATAGATGTAGCCGTGCCACTCCCACTACATTAGTTCAGTATGAGCTCAGCCATTGCTGGGGAACGTTATAATTGTTGCCAGCCTGTAGCTTTAAATGCGAGCTTTATTTTGGTGTAGGTTGATACTAAAATTTCCCGTAAAATCCCTTCTGGCAATGCTTTTGTCGCGGTTTTGGGTATTTTTCCCTCTTCAAGCCACATTACAAATACACTGGCTACGGATCCAGGCAGTGCTGCTAACTTTGGGTTTTTAAGTGAACTACGTCCACTTTCAGGGTAAAGCAGCACAATCACCGCTGCTCTTTTGTGATTCGCTAGACTGAAATATTTGAATGCCGATTGCGCTTGCTGATTCGGTGGCTTGGGGAACAAAAATTACTTAGAAATTACTTAATTTCTAAAAAACTGAAACCCTAAACTAAAATTATGGCTTCGACATTCCCTTGTTCTCAAAAATATCTTTATTTCAACACAAAAATCATGAAAATCCGTCAAGAGGTTGATTCAGAATCGTGAAATAAAAAAACCCTGTCACGTTTTAATATATATGATTGTTTGATAAAAGCACACCTGTGTAGAAATACTTAACAAGTAGGCGTCTTTGCCTTATCTCAATGAATGAACAACATTGATGTTTTCTTCAAAGCTAGTGAGCAGGTTTACTCACATTTTTTCGAACGTTTCCTTTGTCAGGAGCTGGTACGTTCCAACTCATGAAAGCCTTGATCACTCCGGTGGCAGAGTTAGGTTCATGTACACACTCCAACACACTGTCACTGCCCTGTGTGGTAAAACATATTTAAAGTCATAAAAAAAAAAATTTCTTTATGATAAAAATATAATTAACACTTTGAGCAAACAACTTAATTTTATGTTATAGTAGGCCACTAGCCAAAAAGCCAGTTCAAATTTAAGCTCCTTTGCAGCCCAAACACATTTTCAACGTCCAAAGACTTTTCTATCAAATCTGGCAACAGATTTCAATAAGGGTTGATCCCCCTCCCCCAGAGAAACTTAATTGGCGAAGGTGTTTCATAGTTAGCAGAAACATAATTTTCCCGTTAAATTGTTATTGACTATAGCCTACATCAAAACTAATCGTTGCTTATAAAGGTGGAAAGCAGCCAGATTAATAGTGGAGGAAAGCAATATCAACACTGGTGTCAGATTGAAATTAGCTGGCTTGGCTGTCATCGATGTTGTAGACCTTAATTTACAGATAACTCTCATAATGTGGTAATTACCTTTAGCCATTTTTTAAAGTAGCGAATTAAAAAAAAGTATACACAGGAATCCTAGTGAAGAACATACTAACCATAAACCTATCTTCTGAGAGACCCACGGCTACGTAGCCTGTAGCTTGTGCTTTCATTTCAAAATGGTAGCGCATTCCTTGAGCCACGACTGCTACGACCGCTTGGCAGTCACGAGTTGTAACACAGTCTCCTGGCGCACCAAAACATGTCTTGAAGTCATTACACCCATCGTAAAATGGATCTCTTGGTGCCACCACTCGGAAATCAGCCATCAGCTGTTTCTCTGCCGAGCTGCCGAACAACGAGTGGAACCCGACATTGTTAGCTGCAAGGCATCAATTTGATAAGTATTTTTATGTTAGGTAGCTTACATTTTTCCCTTAATTCATAATTGTTTGATACCATAATGGGTAGGTTATAGCATAGCGGGATTAACCTCTAACTAAAGATAAATCATTGGGAAGTAGATAGATATCTCTATGTATGCTATAACTTTCTTGTCTTTCACACCAACTTTTTAAACAATAATAGATGAAAAAACAACTCTCCGTAAATTATAGAATATTATGATAGATCGGCATACATTATATAACAGCTAATAAGACAAAGATTTCTGAGGGCTGAGAGGACTTAGTCTTAGAACAGCCACAGTACACACCCACGAGATTTAAAAAACTAATATGTGTGTTTTCGTCCAACTTTTTTTAACTAAAATACTGAAAACTCTTGTAAATATAAAACTAAGAAATTAGACTTCGGTTTATCAGGATTTCACTTTGACGAAGCTTGAGGCTATACAAGGAAGATCCTGAATTTTTAGTTATTCAAGGTACCAGGGAAAAAATTGGGAAATCATATGGGTGCTTTTACTCACGTTTGAGATCAGTGCCAGCAGCAAGCAAGAGGTTGTAGGGGGTTTTATCCAGATTGAAGGTTTTGTCTTGAACAGTTACGATTGCATCGTGGTGAAGTCTACAGTAAACCGTTCCATCCACATACACTCCTCTTACTAGAGAAAACCCACTTTGGCGCTAAAATTAACAACAAAGTGTTTATAAAATTTGTGAAAGCATAAAATAACCTATTCTAACCGACCATTTTTCATCTATATAGGAACAGTGTTGGTGTTTGCAGTCATAGCAAAATATACCTCAGCATTCTCTAGGTAGCGTAAACCGAAGACAAAAAGGACTTACAGCCCCAGGACTATCACATGCTCCCAACTAACACAGAAAATCAAATTTTCCCATTAAAGGATCACTTAAAAATTAAAAAAACAAATTCAGGTATATTATCCAATTTAATAGTGGCTTGACTGAATCCAGGTGTGTCAGTTATATTTTCTTTGTTATATATTCGTTTGTTTCAAAAACTATTGTTTTTCTTACACAATGTTGTTTAGTGAAATGTTTGTAAACTATAATCATATGATTTAATTTTAAACTCTTATTCTAAATTTATAATACTAATCACCTCTTCTCTTCGGTTGCGTTTGATGCCAGGAATGTTCCAAGATCTGTAAGCTTTGACTCCGTTTTCTGCATCTGCATCTTCATGGACACACTCGACGACATTGTCACCACCCTGGAAGAACACAAAATAGATAGGCTACCAGTACAGTTTGTAACAATATTGTAACACATAGACCCTATTATGACTCTTACTGGACTTGTTGTTTTAGCCACAATGTATTACCATTTATAGGTGTAAGGATACTATAGTACCGGTAGATGATTGTACAGGGTGACTTACGGGAACCAGACAAATTTGCAACAGCTGTTACATTGATGCTACAGTGAGATTGAGGTTAGGTTTACTTTTTCAGTTTAGCCTGTATAAAAATAATTTTATGAGAGTTGACACAATGTTCTTATAACTTTCCTGGCTGGTTTTACATGAAGTTCAACCATCGGATGGTTTGCTATGAAAATGGCATCCTCAGCAGCAAATTTCTCACACAAACCAATCTATATGGTTTGATGTCAATTTGGCAAATTTATATAATGTTCTATAGCTGGTACATTGTATTGTATTAGAGTGTGTCAATTAAGATGGAATAGGAAGCGTAGTGCTATGAGACAACCCTCACCACTCTTTCCTACTCTGAATACATACATTAAATAAGATCCAACTGCAATTTTTGAGATAACGGTGCATGCACATCCTGCTCGCCACTCACGCTTTGTTATTTTTTATCATTTCCTTGCAGCTTACTCTAGTCTTTCAATATATATTCTTACTTAAGACTTTTAGTATCATGAAAATTAAACAATTCCTAAGTATCCCTACAGCCTTAGCTACTTAACAGTTACTCACCATAACAGTATCATCTGAGAAGCCGACTGACACGTACTTCACCTGTTTGCCAACCATGTCAATAGTGTAACCTCCCCCAGGTGCGCTCGTTACTGCTACTGCTGCCTGACAAGTCTGTGTCTCAAGACATCCTCGTGGCAAACCTACGCAGCTCTTGCTGCTCCCACAGCCTCGGTACAGCTCTATCTCTGACGACAACACGTCCTAGGGAAAAATTTGTTTTGATAAACAAGAAAACATTTTCGAAAACCGTGAAACTATTTGGAATCCCCTGATAAATAGAGGATTCGGGGGTCCTCCTGCGGAATGTTTGGTATTTTTAAAGCCGTTTGGTGTCTTTCTAAAACCATTTTTAATGTCTAGAACTGTATCCTCTGTTATTAATTTTCCAGGGACCAATAGGAGGGGCTTTAGAAACCAACTTGGAACTGTCCCTGGTTACTAAACAACTTTAGCTTTGTGATAAGAGAGAGGCAGATAGATTATTGTGATCATTGTCATCTAAAATCATATTATCTTTCATGAACAAATAAACAAACTATCAGTTGGAAAGCTTCCCCTTAAGACCTTTAGGTACTTTCATATTTAATCATCTTGAAAAAGAATAACAAACCTGTACAGTAATAGAAGCTGGTGCCTTGGTAGTAGAGATGCCTGCTGCAGAGCCAGTATCAGTAGATCTTCGGATCACTTTAATAACATCCGACGGCAGACCAACCCAGTAGGTGGTGTAGTTACTCACAACTGTAGCTCTGGACAACCAATATCAATAGGTTATGTTATAAGTGGTTGAGATTCTTATCATCTACAAAAAACGGTCGTACAAAATAAGGAGTGCTGCCTATAAGAGGGGAATAGCATTTGTGTTATACTATGGACATAATTAATTGTTGAACCTAAGCAGTCACTAGTTAGTGTAGTTACTCATAACTGTAGTAACAGCATCGATCTCTATTGTTACTACAGCAAAATAATAGAGATCAATGAGTAACAGTCAGTAACCAATAGGTTATGAGATTGACTATTGGATACTGATATTACATCCCATCTCTATGGACCAGCTGTAGTAAAATTTTATTACATTGTAATATACAGTAGTTGAATGAGCCACTCACAGAGTGCGGAAGTAAAAAACACACTGGTGTTTGTGACTACCTCACTAGTCAAGGTGGGATTTCATTGGAGGCAAATTTAAACTTTAATGCTTCTGTAATGGGATGTTCAGACAAAAACTAATTCTGAAAGAAGTTTAAAAATAAATTTCTATAGTTATCTATGATTAAAGTTTGTTTTCCTTGAACAAGATTCATTGTTAGGAGAAAATTAGAAAAAACTAGAAACATTTGCATAAAAAGAATAAAATAAAATATTCTACCTACACAAAGTTTACATCCCCCTCCCATTCTGCAGGTGCTTCCCACTCCAACTCAACTGCTTGCTTCAGCAGCCCACTGCTGTGAGTTACTGCGTTGTTCTGGAATATCATAGTTAGATTACTCATAAACACCCACCCCTTAACGGAATTTGTACATTTAAAGTTTGGAGAAAAAATATGAATTAATTACCTGCACAGTACCTTTTTTGACAACTAAACCTATTAATGGAATGTTTTTTTTTACATTTAAAGTCTGGAGAAAATATCTTAATTAATTACCAGTACAGTACCTTTTTTGACACCTAACCTATTATTGGAATTTTAACAAATTAAGTCTGGAGAAAAAATCTGAATTAGTTACCTGTACTTGACACCTAGAAAAGTAGTTTTATTATATTTTAATATTTTTAGTAGGCTTGTTGTCAATCCATACGGATAAGAGACAATTTTGTTTTGGCTCGGCATAATTTAACAATAATTGATAAATAACAGTGATTCTGTGGATCTGTAAAATACATAACATTTTCTAGGAAAGTAGTACCTACAGTTTATATACCGTCAACGGTAAGGTAACGGTACTTTATATTTTCTTTTCATTCAAGTTTATTCTGCGCCATTGGCATTTTAGACAAAATAGTCCAGACTCTGCTCTTGTATTTAGCATTAAATTATCATTGGGCCTTAAATAAATTATGGTGATGGCTAATGAAACAGCTTATCTTAGTCAGTAACAAAACCACACAGATCTCACTCCATTCTACACTCATCCTTCCCTCATATTTGCATTAAAATAAGCACTTAGGTGGCATCCTTATCTCAATTTATATTGATAATGATAAACTTTTGCTAGATAGTATTATTAATCAATAGCCCTATGACAAAATAAAATGGGTACCAGCAACCTTCATATATAAAAATTAGCACTACCCAGTCCAGAACATTTGGCTTCCCAGAAAATTGAATACTGTACTGACCAAAAGTCGCTGAAAAGTACTGTACAGAACTTAAAATTGGTCGAACTGGTCTTGAACGTTTGCTGTTTAAGGCCTGGTCAAAACTGATGAACTGAACAAAAAAAACTACATACAATATCAAAATCTGTGAAAATTGATATTTATTTAATCAGATTCATTTACAGAATGCAGTACTAAATTATTCAATATGTCTGTTACTTTCCAGACGGCTGATTACCGGTAACTTATATCATATTGCCTCCTCTTATACAAGGCTACTGCGTTGGTGTGTGGCAATGTTGCACCGGCCAGCCTATTGCCATGGTAATTACAGTAATAACAAACATGTAAACATAAGTATTATGCAAAAACTTCATTAAAAACTAGTGCAACAAGCTGTTTCAGTAGGCCGGAACTATGTTGCCATGACCTTGTATCATTGGAGGTCTTGCTTACTATATTCATTTATTTTGAAATACCTCTCCATCTCCACAGTTTAAGACTTTGGCTTCCTCTGGGACCTCAGTGAAGGATCCGAGAGCTGCTGGACTTCCGGGCTCCCTAGCCTGGAGTAGGAATCCAGTGAATCCGGGAGCTCCCTGGGATGAGATCATCACACGGACCTTGGAAATAAATAGGGAAAGAAATTAAATTTGGTAAACTAGAGTAGATAACAAATAGAATATGTACTAGGTAAAGAGAAATAACATGCAATATTGGTCAGAATGCATTTTGAATGCTGAAAAGTTCACTTATGTAAAGTTCTCAAAGTACAGTGGAGATTCAAACTCTTTAAAAGAGATAGTGGAGATAGGCAGTTCTAGTCTAGGACCTTGTCAAAAAAGGGGGGATCAGATAAACAAACATTTCTCAAATTGATAACAAATGGATAGATGGATGGTTTTATCTAAACTAAGTGTTACCTTTCCCTCCTGTGTATGGGGATGGGACGGAGCCACTGTGTAGGGAGCTACGCCGTTCTGCGCCGCAGTGTCCCTGTGTTTGGGCACCATATCATTACATGTGGTAGGTGGAGCGCCGCCTGAGAATCCCTGTACCACCTGACTGGCGCCTAGGCAGCACACCCCCACCAGCCACAGCCACCTCATCTGGAACAGCAGGGTTGTGGTCACTGAGGGGTTGCAAAAAGTGAGAGACATACAAAAGAAATTTACGGTAGTTTATACTTTATACTTTCTTATGAAATGGCGACCATACTTTGTAGGTGTTTTAAGCCAAGTATGAATGGAGATGAGTGTAGGATGAGTGGCGCGATCTTGTAGTCTTGTTAGTGACTAAGGCCGACATTCCTTAGACACAGCTGTTAATTAATAGCCCATACAGCTAATGGCAACTAAGGGACCTACAGTTTATAGTTAAATGGAGTGGAAGGGAATGAATGTAAAGGAATCAATGGAATTATATATTTTCAACCCAAAAGTTTACAAAAATTTGATATTTTATGGCATGCCAATACATAATACCTTATGTTAAATTAATCTTTAAACAGTAGACAATAATAGGGTTTTTACATACCTCAGTCATTAAAATTTGAATTTTGATTTAAAAAGTAATTTAGAGAATAGTGACCCAACAGCTCTAGATAGTTATCTTTTTTTCTAAAAAGTTTAGAAAGAAAAAATATATTCTTTAGTTATAATTTATCCCACGAGCCTAGTGGACGTGGTTTGGAAATTGTTAGTGGTTTGTGGTTCAGAGATCTTGAAAGTTGACCAGGTGTGATGGTGAGAACCCTTTAGCAAGACTTAGTGAAAGCTAATTATGAATATGAATGTGGTTTGTTGATATATTGTGGTTAAGGTGTCATCTGGCCTAAACTTGTCAAAATGAGGATCAAAAAGATTTACATCAATATAGCATTTAGGTCTTAGGAAAGACTTTAACTAATTGTGGTGTCATAATCAAGTTTGTGTGGAGCTGGTCATCCTTTGGTAAAACAATCAGTCATTTGTTTCAGCATTATTGCAGCTGCAAATATGTGAAACCTCATAATGAATCGCCATTCCTCCTCACACATCCTGATCTAATCAGCTGACTGCATAGGTCATTGGTCATGTTGCAAAATATCCAACTATGTTCATGTAAGAACACGACCTCTGGTTAGTTTAGTAACTAATCCATCACTAAACATGTTGTTTCCTTCAACTGTTTTGTTTTAGTAACCCCCATTGACAGCAACCACCATTAATGGTGTATCAATGGTGGTCTTACGTACATAGGGGCCAATAGATGTTACTGGTAGTTCTCAGAGTAAAACCTATGGTAAAACCTAGACCCAGGACCGAAATTTTTTATTTTGATGACCCCAGAGGCTAAAAACACCATCACTTCAAATTCATATACATATTGTTTTTATTTGGTTAGCACAATAACTCAAGTAAAAATTGTCCCAATTGGCTTAAACCTATATGTTCATTATGGTTTTGTGTGGTGAGTGTACTTTCCTAGAGGCGCAGTTTCCTTTATTCTTGAATTTGTCGTCCACTTGGGTGTGTGTATCAAGCTCAGCAAAGATGGTTCTAGCCAGTAAAATAGTGAACTTAACTGATAAATTTTATGTGGCGGCAAAACGTGCCTTGGTCATGGAGACATAATCTTTGTCCGCAATCAAGGTAAAATCATGAACATCAAGGGGTTATCATGATATCTGTATAATCATGCACTATATCTAAAGTCTATCAATGATATGTCTGGTGCACGTAAATGGAATGTCTACATGCAGTATCCAAAGTCAATAGTACACAAATGTATATTTGGTTCACAAAATGAAATTACTATTTGGAGTCTCAAATTAGGCTTCAGCCCTTCAGCCTAATTCCTGTGACCCTAATTAGTTATTCATTTTGTAGTAAGTTATATGCCCAACGATTTTAATCCGTTTGGTCTTCCCTTTTGTTCTGTATTTGCAATGTGCTAGTTTAGATGATATTTTTGTTTACTAATATGTTACTACTCTTTTGTTTACCTTTTTATTATGTTGCAAATAATGTCATGACGACCAATGTTGAATCCCATGTTAAATTTCTAAACATTTTAATTCAAGTGGATAAAAGTCCTTTGGTCCGATTTGTACCATTTTAGATTTATACCTTCGCATAGTTGGTTACTATGACTGTGCTAAATTTTATGCGGATCGAAGCGAGCCCTTCAGGAGGAGTGTGGAAAACAAAAGCAGGAGTGTATAGAACAAGAGCTTCGCTCGCTCCGCTCAACAATAGTTACCAGTGGGCAGTCAGGTGGAAACAACGTCCAAGGCGCTGATATCCGATGGTGAGTCAAGGTAGGGAACGACAGTGACGTCACTATATGACTTTCTGCCTCTCGTTCCTCTTACTCTATGGCGCTGCCCCGCCCTGCAGACGCGAGGACGACGGACTACACACACTTCCGCTCGTAATCGGAAAATTAGAGTGATTTTCGCGGAAAGAAGGAGCGTGGCCGCTGGAGGTGAGGTAATCACTCTTTCGTCATAAATGTCTAACGAATACAAGGTCTGGTTTAAATAATAAATTATTTCGGAAGAAAATATTGTTTGTCTGCTAAAAGAACCAAATACAGTGGAAAATACATTAGGCCTAAGTTATTTTTTTACTTTGGCTAATCAACAAGATAAATTACGTAATTAACAAAAAACCCTCTGGAAAAATGGGACGGGAACATTATTTAACATTGTCTTTTGCCGTTTCACAAGGATGATAGGCCTAAATCTACGAGGAAATGCGTTTAATCGTTTGACCATGGCTATTAATCATTGTTAAGCTCCCCAAGATAGAAGAGTGTAAATACACTAGGTAAATAATCAGTGTAATACACTGAAGATGATGGTGAGATCAGTCAATTTTGTATGTAAATTACAATACACCCTTACATTTTGTACGAGCACCTTTTACTCAGTCATTTTCAACCGTACGCTCATATATACGAGTAGATCGTATTGGTATTTTTAAACCTTTAAATTTTCGCCTCCTATGTTTTTACACTTATTCTCCACATTTAAAATGCCTCGTATAACAAACGCGTTACTTAGAACGAAAACAAGTTTTAACCTACGTATTAATAATCTAATCGAAATTAATGTTTTTAAATTACTACAGGATGAGCTAAACGTCTCTCTTGTAATCCCTAACTTTTCAATTTTTTTTATTTGAGCTTCATTATTGGTATTGTTTACGTGTTTTCCATAAGGGAACGGTCCGAACCATGTGTGGATTAAAGAAAGCTACCGCGAGATTAGGAAGTAAGCAAGTCAGTAAGTAGGTTAACTGATGTCTAGAATCAATATACGCGTGGACAGGTCAGTGGCTTGGTCCTACTTACTTGGTAAGCGAATCGCCACTTACTTGCACGCTAGTCGCCGATTTGTGAGAGGTTTACTCGAAATTCGGGGTATTCCTTATCTTGAGCATGAATATGCTTATTCGTTGTCATAGATTTACCGTCAACTATTTAAAAATCGTTATGGTGGACCAATGTACTTTCCAAAACAATGCAACACCTTTACAGGTTCATAAAATAACTTCTTTCACACTTCTACGGTTTTGCAAACGTAGCTGGTGTTTTCGTGACTTTTGCAACAATGGAAGATTACAATCTCAGGACCCAGGACTGCCGTTCACTTTTGGAACTGATTAGCATATGTCAATGAACCCTTTCTCGCACAACGACAACATTATACTATTATCACAAACGTGTCACTGTTTAAAAACGCAGCGCTTCCGATCTTTTGATTGTGAAGAAAGCACCTGTATTATGAACGTTTTTGCAACGAAACTGATATTTGCTTGATTGCATCAATGAAACATTACTATCATAGAACTTCCATTCACTTTTACTGAGTCTATGTCAATGAACCGGTTTAACTACGCCATACAATATTCTAACAAAACTTGCTTACATTCGCTACTTATCGTATTAAGCTTCCATTTTCTACACTATATGGCAATTTTTTCTAGACCAACCCCAGTACTTCATGTATGAGTTGCCAGTTAAATTCTGAGAAAACACAAAACTATTTGATCATTGGGTTTTTAATACATAGACATGACTGAAAAAACAGCTGATCTTAGTCAGTAACTAATTTTAGAGGTAAGTAATTTTAGAAGGCCCATAAAACCCATTCACCCCATTGTGGAAAGATTGCGAGGTAACTGGTGTTTGTCGTGACTCTGCAACAAGGAGATACTGAGATAACAATTTATCAATTCTTGTCAGCCAATGAACCTTTGGTACAGAAGGTTTGTAAGGAAACACAAAGGCCCAAGGACACTTCAAGGACTGACGATGTCATTCTTCTTACTCGTATCTGAGTCACATAGAGTCGATTCCTTGCTTTCTGAGTAGGTCTATTAAGTCATGCCTCATTTTAGAAAAAATGTCTGCTTTTAAATTTGTTTCTTGCTTAAAACTTAACAAATGTATCGTTGAGGGTTAAGCAAACCAGGCAGGCAGATATGTTGGTGACAATTCAAATTACTGAACGTCCATATTTCATAGTTTGGTTTGATCTGAATGACTAAGCCTGTGTATTAGATACAGAGAAATCCTGACGAATAGGCTGTTGTCGCCTATAACAACTATTGTAAGGTTGTCCAGGGATAAACAACCAGGCAATGTCAATCCAAATTTAAGGCTTAAAAACGAAACATAACCTAATGTTTTAGAACTTTTGTACAATATCAACGGTGAAGTTCAAACAAAAACATTTAAAACATCGTCGTGCAACCAAGCTGCACGTTGACTCGAAAGAGGCCACTTAAATAGTAAACAAGGCTGAGACATTAGGTGCTAAATGTTGAAACAAACAAGCCGCGATGTGGAATGTGGAGCTCACGAAATGAAGCTGTCCCACGGTGTTTTGGAGCATTTTACGGAACAACTTGTTACTAAGTGCCTAAGTGGAATACTACGCACTTAATTTGAGCACTTGGAACTTAGTGTAGCACTTGGAACTTGAAATAAAGACAAAACTCTTCTGATACATCGAATAATTACTGTTCATGGCGCTCGGATGAATGGTGGTAATGATTAGCACCAAGTACATACATAGATCATAAATTCGATTTTATGCAGTTAGATCCGATAATTAGAA